GAGTTTTGCTTTTGTTGTCCAGGCTGGAGTGAAATGGTACAACCTTGACTCACTGCAACCTCTATCTCCCAGGTTCACACAATTTTTCTACCTCGAGCCTCCCGAGTAGCTGGGATTACAGGCATGCGCCACTATGCACAGCTAATTTTGTATTCTTAGTAGAGACGGGGCTTCTCCATGTTGGTCAAGATGGTCTCAAACTCCAGATCTCAGGTGATCTGCCCACCTCGGTCTTGCAAAGTGCTGGGATTACAGGTGTGAGCCACCGTGCCCAGCTGAGTTTGGGTTTCATGCTCAGAGCAATGGGCAGGTTTTCCGGCACTTTTTGACAAGAAGTGACATGATCAGGTACATGTTTAGGACACTCACTCTGGTGGCTCTATAGAGAACAGACTGGCGGGGAAGCAGTGCTAGTGGTGAGAAGAATGGTCAGAAGCCTGGGAGAAGGCAGGAGGAAAGGCCCCTCTGGCATCAATGCTGCATAGGCAGAAAGCGACCCCTCTCCCCTCCACTACACTCTCCAACTGTGAGTGCCCCGTGCATGGTTTTCTAGAGACAGCTTCCTATTAGAAGGGTCTGAGCTCCCTACTAGACTGAATTCTTGAAGGCAGGAATCAGCAGATATCTGCCTGATAAGAGTTCACTGTGTGAAGCTAAAAGATAACTCAGTGCTGGTGATGACGCGGTGAGATGGGAACCTTGTGCACCTCGGGCAGGGACAGGAATCAGAACAACTTTTCCAGAAAGTAATTTGATAACAAGGGCTTTAAAAATGACCCTGTGTGCTGGACATTGAGGTGCACACCTGTAATCTCAACACTTTGGGAGGCCAAAGTGGGAGGATGTCTTGAGCTCAGGAGTTCAAGACCAGACCGGGAGAATATAGCAAGACTAATTAGCAAAAAATCAGAAACTCCCGAAGCATCTCAGGAATGGGGATGGTCAGTTACATGGTAGTGAACACCCTCAACCAGGGCTTTGGAGCCTTTTGTTTCTTTGCCTTGTTTGCTGTAGTAAGATATATAAAGAAGCGTGTCATCATGTTGAAAGAAAAACATAAAAAATTACAAATGCAGTAGAGTCTCAACTGTGTAAAAACTATGCATAGGGCCAGGCACAGTGGCTCACGTCTGTAATCCCAGCACTTTGGGAGGCTGAGGTGGGTGGATCACTTGAGGTCAGGAGTTCTGAGACCAGCCTGGCCAACAGGGTGAAATCCTGTCTCTACTAAAATTACAAAAATTAGCCATGTGTGGTGGCACATGCCTGTAATCCCAGCTAGTTATGAGGCTGAGGCAGGAGCATTGCCTGAACCCAGGAAGCAGAAGTTGTATTGAGCCAAGATCGCACCACTGCACTCCGGCCTGGGTGACAGAGCAAGACTTCATCTCCCAAAACAAAAGAAATGGAAGAAAAATCCATCAAAATGTGAACTATGTGGAAATGTAGGTGAATATTTTCCTCTTCTTCCACTTTTCTGTATTTCTTTTTTTTTTTTTTTTGAGACGGGGTTTCACTCATGTTACCCAGGCTGGAGTGCAATGGCGCAATCTCGGCTCACCGCAACCTCCACCTCCTGGGTTCAGGCAATTCTCCTGCCTCAGCCTCCTGAGTAGCTGGGATTACAGGCACGCACCACCATGCCCAGCTAATTTTTTGTATTTTTGGTAGAGACGGGGGCTTCACCATGCTGACCAGGATGGTCTCGATCTCTTGACCTCGTGATCCACCCACCTCGGCCTCCCAAAGTGCTGGGATTACAGGCTTGAGCCACCGCGCCCGGCCCACTTTTCTGTATTTCTCAAATGTTCTGTAATTTGTAATGCTTTTATGATGAGAAAAAAGTTTTCTTTTTTTAAAAAAAGAGAACTGACTGGGTTTTCGCCTCTTCTGCAGGCAACGTCACAGTCCTGGAGGCTGACGTCAATGTAGAAGGGCTCGGCACAGCCAACGAGACAGGAGTTCCCATCATGGCACACCCCCCGGCTATCTACAGCGACAACACACTGGAGCAGTGGCTGGACACGGTGCTGGGCTCTTCCCAGAAGGGTAAGGGCTCCTCTGGAAACCCTCCCCAGCCCCGAGCCCTCTGGCCCTGGGGCAGCATGTGCAGAGATCCCTCGCTGGGAAGCAAGTCCAGTCCTGACATGAGGTGTCATTGCCTTGACTTTCTCATCACGGTGCTATAGACGCCCTGGCTCCGTGAGGACTCAGCGAGGTGGGGAGCGCGTCCGTGCCGTCATGGTGTTCTCTCCCGGACATACAGGGTGGACAGCGAGCAGTACAGCGTGAACTGCAAGGTGCCACGCGTGCTCAGAGTGCTTCCTCCTGTTTTCACAGAACTGAACGTAACAAGTTCAAAGCCAAGCCCCACCCTTCCCCTCCGCACCCCTTTGCCAGTCACAGTCAGAATCCAGGCATCTCTGTAACGCCTCTCTCTGTCTCCCTCCCTTATCCTCACGTCCACTCCGTTGCCGCCTCCGCCAATGCTAGCCCCTAACCCTGCCTCCATCTAGTCGCAGCCACATCGGAACTCTCTCACTGGCTTCCTGACCCAAATTCAGCCCCTACAGACTTCCCTTGACCTCCATGACCACACACGCCTGAGGGATCTTTTCTTTTTTTTTTTTTTTTGAGACAGAATTTCGCTCTTGTTACCCAGGCTGGAGTGCAATGGCGCGATCTCGGCTCACCGCAACCTCCGCCTCCTGGGTTCAGGCAATTCTCCTGCCTCAGCCTCCTGAGTAGCTGGGATTACAGGCACGTGCCACCATGCCCAGCTAATTTTTTGTATTTTTAGTAGAGATGGGGTTTCACCGTGTTGACCAGGATGGTCTCGATCTCTTGACCTTGTGAACCACCCCCCTCGGCCTCCAAAAGTGCTGGGATTACAGGCGTGAGCCACCGCGCCCGGCCGGGATCTTTTCAAAACACCAGTTTCGTCATGCCACTCCTCTGCTTTAACCCTCCATGGCTGCCCATGGTCCTCAGGAAAAAGTGTGATCTTGGCCTGGCTTTCAACATCCCTCTATATCTTCCCAGCCTCATCTCCTCACCACCCTGGAAAGTACCAGGTCCCTTCTCTGCAGAGATTCCCTCCTCTACTCAAATGCAGAGGCTGGATGACCTCCCTACAGGCTCTGGTGGTTTAGGGCTCTCTCAGCCTGCTCAAGAAGAACCTCAGCCCCTTTTCAGCAGAGACCTGATTCCCAGGTGCAGCAGCCGCAGGCCCAAGTCCTTACCTGGCCTCCAGGAGGAGAGGGGAGCTCGTCTAGAGGCAGGCCCTTCTTCTCTCATTAGCTCTGCCTCTTCAAAAGGCTTTCCTCACACCTGCAGGGATGTGGTCCTTGTCCTTCCACCCTCCCCTGACCCCAACACACACACACACACACACACACACACACACACACACACACACGCACCCTCTCTGCTTTCTGCCCAGGGAGTCACGTCTTCCTGGTTCCTTCGTCAGTTCCCCAAGCCCTTGTCCCTTTCCCCACAGGCATCAAACTGGACTTCAAGAACATCAAGGCTGTGGGCCCCTCCCTGGACCTCCTGCGGCGGCTGACAGAGGAAGGCAAAGTCCAGCGGCCCGTGTGGATCAACGCTGACATCTTAAAGGGCCCCAACGTGCCCATCTCATTTGAGGTCAATGCTACACAGTGAGTGTTCGCCTCTCTGTCCCAGCTGTGTCCAGCCTTCTTCTGTCAACACCTAGCACAACGTGAGGATCTTGGGGACCTCTGAGTTTGTCTCCAGTCACGCTATATAGTCTCACCTCTGAGCCTTTGCACGAGCTATTCCCTCTACCTCCAGTGCCTTTCCCCTCTTTTCTGACAAACCACTGGCCAGTTGTTATCTCCTCCAGAAACTTCCTTGACATCCCAGGCTGCTGCAGGATGTCCTCTGGGCCCCTCAACCCCCACACTTCCTCCTAACACAGCCTGACTTCATGGAGCTGTCACTGTGGGTTCACAGGTCTGTCACCTACTACACTGAACTCCCGGAGGACAGACCAGGCCAAGTCCTTCCCTATATTCCCCAGTGACCAGCACAGGAATTGGCCTGCTAGAAAAGTCTAAAACCTTGACTCCGTCCCCAGTCCCCATGAATTCCAGCACCGCTGCTGGCAGACCTCACATGCAGTAGCTGCTCTGCAGTTTACAAGGAGACCACATAAGAGGAGAGCCTGTTTTTGATCTGATCCTGACGTAGTACTGCCAGGTTAGCGCTTTCTCCCCATTTTGCAGATGAGAAAGCTGACAAGAGAAGCATCTCAATTTGTTACGTGTTTATTATGTGTCCCAGACACTGTTTTAAGTACTTTACTTAAAGAACACCATTTAACTCTTACGAAAATGAGGTAAGTGCTATTATTTCCATTTTATTAACGCAGGGACTATATTACAGACGTGAAAAGACCTGCCTAAGTCTAGCAAGAGGCAGAGCAAAGATTCAAACCCAGGCCCTCTGATTCTCAGCTGCAGGCTCCTTCCCATCCATCTCTCCCTCCACCCATCCAGCCAGCCAGCAACCATCCATTTAGCACTTATTATTGTGCTTCTCAAGCTGAGGTGCCTTCCGAAAGTAGAATGTAATAAATGGCCCAAGATAAATATGACCTGTCTTCTTGGAGTGCTAATTTTACTCAGTAGGGTTTTTTTGGTAGGCAGTGGGTGACAACATAATTTGCCTGTTAAAATTTGCATCTTTTAAAGAAGAAAAGTACAAAGAAAAAATTAAAATATTTTCATCAAGGCCAAGTTCAAATAAAATTTTAGGCTGGGCATGGTGGTTCACACCTATAATCCCAGTACTTTGGAAGGCCAAGGTGGGCGGATCCCTTGAGCTCAGGAGTTTGAGACCAGCCTGAGCAACACAGCGAGACCCCGTATAGAAAGAAAAAGAGAGAAAGAGAAAAAAAGAAAGATACAAGGGGAAGGGAGGGAGGGGAGGAGAGGAGAGGGAAGAGGAGAGAGGAAGTCTCTTTTTTGTTTGAGACTGAGTCTCATTCTGTCACCCAGGCTGGAATGCAGTGGCGCAATCTCGGCTCACTGCAACCTCCACCTCCCGGGTTCAAGCAATTCTCCTGCCTCAGCCTCCTGAGCAGCTGGGACTACAGGAGCAAGCCGCCACACCCGGCTAACTTTTTGTATTTTAGTAGAGATGGGGTTTCACAGTGTTGCCCAGGCTGGGAAGGAGAGAAATTTTAAAGAAAACCTGAGAAACTTCAAAGGCTCACAGCTGGCAGAGCACAGATTCCCACACGCGGGGACTGAGTCAGTTTTGTGTCTAGAAGGGGATGTTTAAGAAGCCTGCCCTGCTAGAGGGGATGATATCTGTGATGCTGAGTGACCCATCCAAGGTCAGAATCAGGACCTGAACCCAGACTTCCCTGATGCCAAAGTCCATGCCCAATTCATGGGACCCGAAACAAGCCATTCTGTTCTTTGGGACTCTGCTTCTGACCTTATCACAGATCTAATAGGCCCTGCCACTCCCCAGCACGGGGACAAGAACCCAGAGGAGAGGAAGGGGCCGGCGCAGCTCCCGTGAGACCAACATCTCCAATTTTTTTGCAGGTTCCTGGCCCTGGTCCAGGAGAAGTATCCCAAGGCCACCCTGTCTCCAGGCTGGACCACCCTCTACATGGCCATGTTCCCAAACAGGACGTACACCCGAGCCATGGTGGAGAAGATGCACGAGCTGGTGGGAGTGGTACCCCAGAGGGTCACCTTCCCTGTGCGGTCTTCCATGGTGCGGGCCGCCTGGCCCCACTTCAGCTGGCTGCTGAGCCAATCTGAGAGGTGAAAACCACCAAACCCACCCCACCCTCCTGGAGGCGCTGATGCCCCCAGCAAGATCCCAGATGTTCATGGATGGAAGGGTCTTTTTTTTGAGATGGAGTCTCGCTCTGTCACCCAAGCTGCAGTGCAGTGGCACCATCTCAGCTCACTTCAACCTCTGCCTCCTGGGTTCAAGTGACTCTCCTGCCTCAGCCTCCCAAGAAGCTGGGACTACAAGTGTGTGCCACCACGCCTGGCTAATTTCTTGTATTTTCAGTAGAGACGGGGTTTCACCATGTTAGCCAGGATGGTCTTGATCTCCTGACCTCATGATCTGCCCACCTTGGCCTCCCAAAGTGCTGGGATTACAGGCGTGAGCCACCACACCCAGCCATGGATGGAAGGGTCTTAAAGGTCATCTGGTCCAACTCCTGCTGGTGCTCATGCCCTCTACAGAGTCCCTGCTTTCTGCTTGCATACCTCTGGTGATGGCCTCTCACTACCTCCTGAGGGAGCCCTTTCATTGGTGGGTAATTCTCTGCCCCCCAGAAAATATTTATACCAAGACACAATTTGTCTCCCCACAGCCTCCTCCAGCAGGGCCAGGTATAGCCCTGGAGCAACATATACTGTGCCTTCAACCCCTGCCCTAGGATAGCTCTGTAGGAATTTAGAGACTCCCCTACCCCCACTACCCCCCTACTTTCCTTAGCTGCTCCCCAGAGGACTCCCAAAGCTGCCCCTCCCCCTCTTCATGCTTGACCCGCCCTTCCACATCCTCCCCCATCGGTCCTGCCCCTTTCCTAGGACAGGACTCAGAAATAGGCACTGCAAGTGAGGAGGCAGGACAGGCTCCCCCTCCCTCCTGAAAGCTCTGCTTTCAGTCATCTTTCCTGAATTCCCTCTGGCTACTGCCCTTGGGAAGGGGTAGGACTCAGGGAGAAGTGGTGGGTGGGCGACTGGAGGACAGATGTGCTACCCTGGGCCCAGCTGGCATCCAGTTCTGAGCACAGGAGTGGGGCTGAGGGCCTTGCTGAGCCCAGACAGGCACTGAGCCAGCTCTGGTGGCCCCAGGTATAGCCTGACGCTGTGGCAAGCTGCCTCGGACCCCATGTTGGTGGAGGACCTGGTCTACGTCCGGGACAACACTGCTGTCCACCAAGTCTACTACGACATCTTTGAGCCTTTCCTGTCGCAGTTCAAGCAGCTGGCCTGTAAGGAGAGGAACTGGGAAGGGGGGTGTGGACTGGATTCTGCACGGGGCAGCACGTGGCTGGCACTGGAGCAGAGCTGGGAGGAAGGGATATCAGAAAGGGGAAAGCCAGGGTGGGGCAGGAGGAGGATACATTTTGGGTACCAGGCCCTGGAATGGTATGCTAAGCTTCACATATCCATTTTATTTTTATTGTTATTTTTTCGAAACGGAGTCTGGCTTTGTCACCCAGGCTGGAGTGCAGTGGCGTGATCTCGGCTCATTGCAGCCTCTGCCGCTCGGGTTCAAGCAATTCTCCTGCACCACCACACCAGCTAATTTTTGTACTTTTAGTAGAGACAGGGTTTCACCATGTTGGCCAAGCTGGTCTCAAACTCATGCCCTCAGGTGATCCACCCGCCTCAGCCTCCCAAAGTGCTGGGATTACAGGCGTGAGCCACTGTGCCTGGCCCACACATCATATTACAGAGAAACAGAGGCTCAGAACAGTTCAGGAATTTATACAGTCACTCAGCTTGTATGTGGTCCAGCAGGTAGGAACCCAGCAAATTCCAAACCCCATATTATTTTGGTACACAGCTCCACCATGGGTTACTCTAATGTTTCAGAGATCTCCACCGTATTCACTGAGCAGTGATCAGACGCTGCCACCCAAACCCCTCATTCCCTTGTCCCCAAACCCAGGAGAGCCGCAGTTAAGCCATCTCAAAGGGGCCCCATCAGACTCAGCATTCCTGTCAACTAAGCAGGAGCCATCTAAGCAAGCGGGGAAGGATACCAGCTCTGGGGCCAGGCAGATCTGGTCTCAGCAAGCTCCACTCCCAGCAATTCTGCTCACTGCTTATAGGACCTTGGACAAGTCACTTCTTGTAGTCTACAAAACAAGGAAATTAGAGCTGCTTGGCAGGGTGCCAGGAGGCTTAGAGAAGATGTCTATAGAGCTGCGGCCTACAGGTGTTGCATGAACGGCAGCCACTTCACCTTGGCAATTTGGGTCCCCACAGTGAACGCCACACGGAAACGAATGTACTATACGGGGGGCAGCCTGATCCCTTTTCTCCAGCTGCCGGGGGGTGATGGGCTGAACGTGGAGTGGCTGGTTCCCGACGTCCAGGGCAGCGGTAAAACAGCGACGGTGACCCTCCCAGGTAAGGTCTGCCTTCAGCCCTGGTGCTCCTAGCTCATCTGCAAGGGTGTCCTCTGCTTGGGGCGGGTACCTCCGGTCTCTGTTGCCATGGCAACACGGGTTTATTTACACCATGCGCTGGAGGCAAGGTGGGGCAGGGTTGCAGGAGAGGGAGGGGGAGTACAGTGGTGTGAAGAGCACAGGGCTCCTGGCCTTCAGACCAGCCCCAGCCACGGTGCTGTGGGCAAGGCTGGCACTGGCCCCCAGGCTGAGTCACAGGTAAAGGCCAAGAGCTGAAGCCAGAGTTTCTCATGCACCAGGCCCATTTATAAAGCAACCCATCCACCTGGAGCCCAAAACTGGGTTGACAGATTCCGGAGAGGCAAGGCCCTTGGATGCCCCCAGAACTCCCACTGCCTCTTTAGCAAAGGACTCTAATACCCTATCATAACCCAAATCTTAAACACTGTTCCCTCTGCTGCCTCTTCCAGACACAGAAGGCATGATCCTGCTGAACACTGGTCTCGAGGGAACTGTGGCTGAGAACCCCGTGCCCATTGTTCGTGCTCCAAGTGGCAGCAACCTGACGCTGGAGTCCTGCCTGCAGCAGCTGGCCACACATCCCAGATGTTGGGGCATCCATTTGCAAATAGCAGAGCCTGCAGCCCTCCAGCCATCCCTGGCCTTGCTGGCACGCCTCTCCAGCCTTGGCCTCTTGCACTCGCCTGTGTGGGTGGGGGCCAAAATCTCCCATGGGAGTTTTTCGGTCCCTGGCTATGTGGCTGGCAGAGAGCTACTTACAGCTGTGGCAGAGGTCTTCCCCCACGTGACTGTGGCACCAGGCTGGCCTGAGGAGGTGCTGGACAGCGGCTACAGGGAACATCTGCTCACAGATATGCTAGAGCTGTGCCAGGAGCTCTGGCAACCTGTGTCCTTCCAGAGGCCGGCCATGCCACGGGGCCATAGCACAGCTGGAGCCGTAGCCAGGCTGCTGGCCTCTTCCCCCCGGGCCACCGTCACAGTGGAGCACAGCCCATCTGGGGGCGACTATGCCTCTGTGAGGGCAGCGCTGCTGGCAGCCAGGACTGTGGACAGGACCCAAGTTTACTACAGGCTGCCCCAGGGGTACTTCAAGGACTTGCTGGCTGATGTTGGCAGAAACTGAGCACCTGGGGTGGTGGGCCAGTGGACCTCAGGGCGGAGGCTGCCCATGGAGAGGCAGGAAGAAATAAAGGCCTTTGCCTTTCTCCAGGCACTGTGTGTGAGTCCTTGGGAACAGGATGGAGTGGGGATGGGCAGGATGTGGCCACTGAGGGCATCTAGAGGGTCTGGAGACTCGGGGCCAGATCATTCCGGTTGTCCAGGAGAAACTGCTCGCAAGCCTCGAAGGTGGTGTAGAACTCAGAGGAGAGGCCGGCCACATTGGTGGTCACATAGTTGAGAACGCCCGGGGTGGCCTGGTTGTAGTAGGACACCTGCAGGGTTGGGAGGCCAGGCTCAGGGGGACCTAGCTCAGGGAGGGTTCCGGGAGGGGGTGGGAGCCCAGTGGGAATGAGGCTGGTGGCGAGTCAGCCTTGCTCGCCTTCTGGGAGGGCAGGAAATTCAACCCAGCTCCAGGGTCTTAGACGACATGGCTGGCAGGCATGACCTTCTCCAGCAGATCTCCCCCAACCCTTCCTAGGGTGCTGACAACCCTGGCTTCCTGCCACCACACACCACATTGTCATCTCATATCTTCCCTGCCAGCTGGTGTCCCTGGAGGGCAGAGGCTGCAACTCCAGGGCCCAGCTCTGAATCTCAGCCACAGAGACATGCTAGGCAGGAGCCCAGGGATGGTTCTGAGGTGCCATAGGTTCAAGCATATGAATTCGACAGACACTGGCTGAGTCTCTGCTGGGGGAGTCTCAGGGCCAGACGGGGCCCTAACAGAAGCTGTGAGCGGGGAGGCTGCTGCACCCACCCTCGCTTTCCCTCAGCCTCCTCCCTGTGTTTTCCATCAGCCCGGACCACCCTGCTGGGTTTTATGGGCCCTCAGAGCCTTATAAAGCCTTCCTAGATGAGAAGGGCTTTCCACGCGCGAAGGAGTTTCAGTTCAGAACCCAGGCCTTCCGCCCTCAGCACCCAGGGTTTTCCCAAGACCATGCAGCAGCCTCTGACTCACCTCCACACACATGGCATCATTTCCAGCCCCTGACACTCAGGCTCCCCCAGGCTGGAAAGGGGAGCCTGCTGGGAGACCCAGTTCTGGACTGTCCTAGTCCAGTAGTTCTGAGTTCCATGCACGTGTGTGTTGGGGTGGAACCAGGCTGGGGGCATGGTGGGGGGAGCGGCCTCACCTTGGTCAGCTGGTCACCCTCACGCCAGAGGCAGAAGCCTGAGCAGAGGGTTTCTCCACGCCTGTACTCTGGCGTCTCTCCGTGTGTGGGCAGTGTGACCGACCTCAGCGCGATGACATACAGGTCCCTGAGTGAAGGAATGGTAGCAAGGGGGCAGAGGTCAGCCACAGAAGAAAGTGGGGGCTTGTTCTGCCCAACTGAGGCCCAGACCCTGCCCCCTCTGGCGCGGATTCCTCACCAGGGGCTGCATGGCACATCGACTCTTAAAGCCCCGACACCCGGCTCAGGGCCCGGCCGGAGGGAGGAGGCGCCTGTGGGTTGGCACTGAATTCCCCGGGAGCCAACCTGACTCCACTGTGGACTTTCTGGAAAAGCCACTCTACTTCAGTGTGTGGGGGAAGAGTGTGGGCTTTGGGATTTTTTTCTGTCCCTGTCTTTCCAGCGAAAGAGATGTTTAGGCCCTCCAGCCCACATGGGGCTGTCAGAGGGAGGGGGCCAAGGGGGTGGCCACGTGAGAAATGTCCTGTCCAAGGCCTGCATCGAGGCAGCCTGAGCCGCCCTGGGTGACGGTGGCCCTGCCTTAGAAAATGTGACAGGAGGGGAAGTGTGTGCTCCTGTCCTTATTTTACCCATGGTAAAGCCACAGCAGCCCAGAAAAGCCTAGGCTTTCTGGGGCACCACAGCCAATGGGAAGCAGAGCTCTGGCTCCAGGCTGATGCCCTTCCCTGGGAAAGAGATGAGGCCACCCTAACACTGTCCCATTGTGCCCCCAACTCCACAACAGATAGGCACACACCCATTGTCACAAGGCTTCCTCCTGGAAGCCAGGATCACGAAGTCCTGGGGCTTGGTGTGACCTCCAAGGGCAGGGCTGGTGACATGGTAGATGGCATCATCCTCGTCCACCTGCTGCACCAGCTCCACGCTCCTGTGGGGAGACCGGGATCTCAGCCTCCAGCTCCTGTGCAAGCCGCGGGGCTGCCCGGGTCCTCCCACACCACAGCGCCCAAGCAGTCTCCCCGGTGGGATGTCACCCCCTATACTGGTCACCAGGGAGCAGCAGGAAGGCAGCAAGACCCAGCCAGGGTGGACACACAGGCACACGGAGACATGCATGCAAGCAAACGAACACATACACAGACGTGTGATAAAGATATGCACACACCTGTGCACACACTATGTGCACAGGTACATGGACAGACACCAGTGCACACAGAGACCCATGCATGTCTGTACATGTCTGCGCAGGTACAGACACCACAAGGATGTGTGATGATTTAGCAGCTGTGCTTAACATTCACTGAGCACCCACTGAGTGCCAGGTGCTGTTCTAAGTGCTTAACTTGTGTCACTTAATCTCCATAACAGCCCCATGCTGTAGACACTGCTAGGATCCCCATCACATAGATGAGGAAAATAACCTGGCAGTAGCCACAGAGCTAATAAGGAGGCAGGGCTGGGGTATGTTCAGGCTCTCAGTGGCAGAGATGTATCCCCAGGCCCCGGCACCCAACACACATGTGTGGGCATACACAGGCTCATATTGACACAGGCACGCACCCAGGACACCCACACAGAGGCACATGTGGCCATGTCCAGACCCACTTTCTCCTCTCCACTCTCCTGCTGCAGTCAGGAGCAGGCAGGGTATGGGGAAGAAGCTAGCCGCTCTTTCCCCTCAGGCCTCTCCCCCACACATCCCATCAGGTATCAAGATTTGGTCTGGCCTTCAAAGCCTACCCCAGCCTCCCTCCAAGAAGCCCACCCACCACATGCACAACCGCCCTCCCCACACACGGCATCCCCCACCAAATCACCTCTCTGCCCTCTGGAAGGGGACCACCAGCAGGCCTGAGTCAGCTGGACCAGAGCTTTTGAAAGCAACATGGCCCTTTTTGCAAAGAAACCTTCAGCAGGAAGCCCATGTATGAAGAGCAACAAGCCTGCTCTGGAGAAGATAGATGGGGTAGGAAGCGGAAGGCCAGTTTGTCAAAATACAATTCTCCAAATGACCGGTGCACTGAATTTCCAAACACACAAAACCTCCTTACAGAAATCCTCCAGAATGTAGGCTCCTCATAACAAGCTCTCAAAGAAACCCTCAAGCTAGGATGTTGGCAGAACAGAAAATGACTTTAAGGGGACTCAGACAACACAAATTTTGCTATTTTCCTAAGAACACATTTATCTTCCTTGACTAAATTCAAGAAGAGTCACATGAACAATCAATAAATTTGGAGGAACAAATGTATTTAAAGGAATAACATTTCCATTCATAATCATTCTCTATATTCAAAAATAACATATTTGTGAGGAAAATCAGCAAACTTGGTCAGTTCAGCAACTGGACATGCTATTAGTTGGCATAAAGCCAAGAGAGGCTCCCACACCCTTCGGCCTTCTGACTCCGCCCCAGGCAGTCCTGGAAGCCCCCTTGGGAGCACAGCACTCCACAGCACATGGTGTGAAAGGCACTGTCTCCGAGTGTGAATCCGTGACCCACCACCCAAGCACCCATTTTAAGAAGAGAGAAACTGAGGCCAAAAGGGAAGTGACTTTGACTTATCCAGTGTCACCCGGCTAGTTGGGACAGAGGCAGGATGTCAACTCAAGCCTCCAGCTCCAATTCCATGCTCAGTCTCTCCCCTAAGGGCTCAAAATAGCCATGACCCGGACCCCCACCCAACATGGAACTCCAACCCACCCCCAGCCCCTGCTAATGGCCAGGAGGGCAGAGCATCATGGAGGACGACCTGCAGAAGCAGACACCCTCTCCCCCATCAGGCCAGAGAAGGGGTCCTGCCCTGCCGTCACCCTGGCCCCTCACCGGTAGTGCTTGTCCCACTCAGGCCTCCGACGCAGGTCCGAGAGCAGCACAAAGGCCTGGGCTGCGTCCACGTGCACCACCATCTCCATGTGGAAGGAGAGGAACTTGTGATCCTCCAGAGTGTACAGGTGGACCTGCATGGGTCAGAGGGCAGCCTCATTTGCTGGGCAGTGTAGTGGACTAATGGGGATGCTGGAGGCTGAGGCTGGAAGCTCAGGGTGACAGCTGACTTGCTGTGTGTGAACACACAGCTTAACCACTCTGAGTCTCAGCTGCATCCCCATGAAGATGGACTGATGAGAGAATTCAGCACAAATGGGCAGGAAGGTGGCTTAGGATGCCAGTCACTAAGGCAACACGCCGTGGTGATGTGGGAGATGGCGTCATCCTCGTCCACCTGCTGCGCTAGCTCCATGCTCCTGTGGGAAGGCTGGGATCTCAACCTCCAGCTCCCGTGCAAGCCTCGAGTCTGCCTGGGCCCTCTCACGCTGCAGCACCCAAGAACAGTGCTTGGCACGTGGTAAATGCCCAGACCCACTGTGTGACCCTGGACAAGCAGCTCTGCCTCTCAAGCAGGAGGCATCTTGTCCAAGGGCACAGGCAGCTGGCAGAGCTTAGGTCTCCTGTAAGCCCGTGCCTGCTGGCTGCCCCCATCCCTGCAGCAATCACAGAAGAACAGGGAGGAAGGGAGGAAGTGCCTGGGCACACAGCAGCAGACCCGAGAGAGTGGCTGAGGGCAGGAAGGGCGGCAGGCAGGAGAGAAGGATCTAGGGCTTCTCAGCTTCAGACCCTGCAGGGGTGGGTATGTTTCCATAACTGGACTGGTTTCTTGATCTCACCTAATTCTTTGAAGAGATCCTTTTTTGACATAAGTGGTGTGAGAGAGTTCTTGCTGCTTGCCATCAGCCACCTCTGGCTCAGAGGAGAAAGGAAAGTTGGGTGGGTGGGGTCAGCTACCTGACTGATCTCTGAGGACAGCACCCAGTTGTCCTTGGCCACGAGCATCTTCAGGGAGGAGACGTTATTGTAGCTCAGATACACCTGGAAAAGCACACAGGTGCTACCACTACCCCGATCCCTTCCTCCAGGGCC